TTGTATGTCTGTTAATGTTTCCCTCCTTTTATCCTTAAAATAAAAAAAAAAAAAAATAAAAAAAAAATAAGATCATGGCTATAACTAAATAAAGTGTAAATGCTATAAATCTTTTAAAAGTGAGAGGAAAGGAAATAGGAAGAGAGCTACAGTGGATTGTAGATACTCTCACCAAGTGGGAAGCAAACAGAGGCTGTGGTTGATGATAAAACTAGAGGTGTGATGGTATTAAGTTTAAAAGATAACTATGGAGAAATTAAGCTAGCTATAGTGGCACATGTCTGTAATTCCCCTACTCAGGAGGCTGAGTCAGGAGGATCACATGAGTTAGAGGCCAGGCTAAACTACATAGTAATACTCTGTCTCAAAAAGCCTAGGCAGAGAGAGAAAGAGAGAACAGTATGGAGAAACTGAACATATTAATTATATTTTGAGCCAGGGATATAGCTCAGTGGCACGAGCACCTGCCTGACAAGCACAAGGTCCTGAGTTTGATTTCCGTTACCAAAAAATAAAAAATAAAAATAAAATAAAATAAATTATATTTTGAAAATGAAGCAGAGTGATAACTAAGATAATGAGCTAAAAATGAAGAACATGAAGGTCATGTTTGGGGCTGAGAGGAAGTAACATAAAAGATAGTTTCAATTATAAGCTTCTTGTTGTTATTCAGAATTCTTAAAACAATGTACAGTATTATTTTAATGGAAGTAAATTCAAGCAGAGGGAGAGAATCCATTTGTGGCTTAGTCAAATCCTAAGTGCATGCATAGAAACTCTTCTGTCCCATTAGGAAAGTCTAAGTCCTTGTTGTCTTCTAACTATTAAATTCGGTTTTTTGAAGTCACTAGCGAAAGAATTTGTGAATGTTACCTTATCTCCTATAAAAATGCAACCACAGGGGCTGGGGATTTAGCTCAGCGGCAAAAGCGCCTGCCTTGCAAGCGCAAGGTCGTGAGTTCGGTTCCCGGTACGGGAGAAAAACCAAAAAAAAAAAAAAAAAAAAAAAAAATGCAACCACAGATTACAAGTTCAAATGACTTCTTATAAATAAAAAGAAATGAAGTCGATAAGGATAAGAATATAATAGATTTATTTTTTTGTAACTCTTACTGCAAAATCAGTGAGCTACAATGACTTAGTAACTCAGAGGCTCTTTCAGTGCTGATGACAGTGTAGAAGCTAACAAAAAGAAAATTACAAAGCTAATATTCCTTTCTTTTTCTAAATCTCAAGATGTTTAGCAGCTGCAGTTGCACATTATTAGGCAGAAATGTTTAAGGCAAGCATCTGGGATTCATTCATGTCAACTGTTGCTCTTTAAAAGAGGCATTTTTATTTAAAATATTAACCTTTTAAAGACTATTTCAGAAGAAATGAACATCACCCCCTTCCTAGTCCCTGCCAGCACTCCATTTCAAAGTTTCAGCCTGCTCCAGGAAATTGAAAAGGAACCCCCTTCCTACATCCGAAGTGTCTCCACATTCCATATGCAAGAACTTCAGGACAGTCCCCAGGGTGAACAGCCTCTCCTGGATCCTCAAACCACTTCCAGATGTGAGCCCCCAAGCTGGACAAACAGATCCAGGCTTCCGGCCCCTTTCCAGATGACAGCCTCCAGAAAGATGAGCGTGGCAGAGACCTACTCCCCTGACTCCAGATGCGGGCCACAGAGCACATGAATAAACTGAAACATGTTCTCCCCCACCACATCTAATCCCCTAAGCAAGACAGCCTTCTTATGTGTCTCCTACAACACTCCACATTGTCTTGAGAAAGCTAAGCCTCCATAGATCAAAGCCGTATGTTTCTCTCGCCAATTCTGTCTTCCTACTTTCCATTCTCAATCTAAAAAGATGAGGTTCCTCACCTGGGTCAAGGTGCTTATCTCTGGACACACTTTGGGGATGAGGTTATTCTGAAGGTTTAGCGTCCTCAGGCCAGGCAGTTTTCCTAATGTTGAGGGCATCTTCGTCATCTTCTTCCCATTCAAAGTGATGATCTTAGTGTTTTTCCCACCCTTCAGTGCTCCTATTAACAGTCTCTCAGCCATGATCTTAGAGGAAGAAGGTAACCTGAGGGATTAGAGCTCTTTATTATGCATCTTTAGAACCTCTCCTTGCAGAATAGATGTGTCATGGAAACAAAAACATTCTGAGCGCCACCATGCTGAAGGCAGGAGGCATTAGATAGGTTCCTAAGGAAAGGCTAGGCAGGGAAAAATAGCAGATCCAGGTTTGAGGCAGAAAATATACCAGACAAGCTTTGAATATTTATGCCAGAGATACGGAAATTATCAAAGACTAATGAGATCACATCTAAAGGACTCAGAAGCCAATTTCCGGGAGCTCCTACTAGTTAACGATGGGATGTAACTGAGGACCAGAAAAAAACCAGTAACCTAGAATAGACTGAAACACACCCAGGCATACTAAAATCTAAGTGTTCATAATGGTAGTTTTTCTTAAAAAAAAAAAAAAACTAGTAACTCTGGCACCTGAGTTGCTAGGGCACCAACGTTGAAAATTGATAAAGAAACAGTATTAAATATTTATTCTACTCTTACAGAAGAAACTGAATGTCAGTATAATCTAATAGCTAACAAAGATCTTATTCACAGAGGAATTAGAGCTACCAATTGAAGAAGAAAAAACAGCTTTAGAAAATTCACTATTTCTGCAAATTCTAATGGAATAGCGTATCTATGCAAAAATCCTAATTGGTTGCTAAAAGTGTTAGTTGAAAGGGTGATAGGGACCTTTGTAAGGAAAACATCAAATTAATAAGTTAACTCACTAATCAGTTTTAGTCATTACTAAAACCTGGACAGTCACAAAGAAGCCTTATAAAGAGCTGCAATAAAATGTACACGTTACCACACAAAATGTTCTTGCCTGAAAATTGAAGCGGAGTCTAATCATGGCTTTGAGATCATTTTTTGAAAGCATGAGAAGCAGATAGCAGCTTAAAATTCTCAAGAAAGAACTTGGTCAAATCTAGAACAGAACATTCTATAGGGCAAATGACGTAAGTTTTACCAACAAATCATTGGCATTAATAAAAAGAGAAATGCTATGAAGAAAATTAACTTAAGATAAATAAAAGCCAGATGCAATGTTTGGACCTGGATTGAATCCTCATTTGAATGCAAATATCTTGGAGTCAATCAGGGAAATGTATTTATGAACTGGATATTACATTATAGAAATTATAATTTTTATGCAAATAATGGTACGATAATAGCACTTATGTGTACTTAACATTTAGAAAAGCATACTGAAATTTTCAGGTGAAATAAGATGGTATCTTCTCAAAGAGTCTGTAACACAAGGTTAAGAGAGAGAGGTACAGGGATGACCTGCTGACGATTCATTGGTCAACAGGATTCTAAAGGTCACCTCTTGCTCCACCAAATAAACTGAAGCCAGGGGTTAAAGCCAGGAAGGTGTGTGACATCAGATGAGGCTGCCACACGTGTGTGCATTTGCACACACACACACACACACACACACACACAACCCCTCTCTGGGGATTGGGATTTTTTCCTACTTAGTATTGAATTTAGGACCTCACACATACTAGGCAAGGACCTCTACCTCTGAGCTACACTCTCAGTCCTCCAATCGATATATTCTTTTGAGGGCTCATAGAAAAACCAGAAACTTGCTGTTTCCAGAGCAGTGGTTTTTTTTTTCTTTTTTCCCTTTCTTTTCTTTATTTTCGGGGCGGGGGGGAGCAGGGATACAGAGTCTTGCTCTATAGTTCAGGTTGGCTTTGAACTCATAGCCCATGCTGGCCTCAAACTCAGAGCAATCCTCCTGCTTCAGCATCCTGTGTGCTGAGATTACAAGCATGTGCTGACACAATAGGCTTAGAGTGGGTGCTTTTCTTGAATGTAGTCTACACATAATAAAGTCAAAGATATTTTACTTCAAGAAAAAATAGTGCCTTAGATTTTCTTAAAGTAATCCACGGGAGGACTGGGGATATAGCTCAGTGGTAGAGGAGAGGAGGGGAGGGGTAAGGGGTAGGGAGAAGAGAAGAGAACCCAGGGGAAAAAGTGTGGGGGTGGGGGTAAGATCAAAGAAGACTGACAAAATGTTGATAATTACTGATGTTGAACAATAGACACACAGAAATTCATCACGCTGGTCTCATTATTTTTGTGTATATTTGGAAAGACTAGAACAAGGTAGAGTTGTAGACAGGGATCAAGTATTTGATGATTATATGAACACCACTGCAGATATGCAGGGCAGAGGCATCTGGGTTATATATACATATGCCACATTTAGATGGCAAATTTCCCAAGACTTAAACATTATGAAATACATCCTACCCTGAAAAAGTTCTGAATCCAAGTCAATTCTTCTGACAAAGGAGTAAACGAAAAAGACAAAAATCCCCGCTTTCAATGAAATTATATCCTAATAGAAAAAAGTAATCAAGATAAACAAGTCTAATATGCTAGATTGCTAAGGGAACTGCTATGGTTTGTGTCTGGGTGTCCCCCCCAAAGCCTCATGCAGCCATGGGGCAGGGTTTTAGAGTTTGATTGATTATGGGTGTGAGAGCTGCACCCGCCCTGGGATGGATAGTTTGCATATGTAAGGGAGAGCAAGAGGCTGCTTCTGGCCATTTCCTCCCTTGTGTTTTTTTGTTGCTTTTGCTGTGTTCACGGAAGCCATGAGCTGTAGCTCTCTGCCATGTGCCAGTCTGCCTTGTAATCTGCCAAGTATGGACTGAAACCTCCACAAACTGTAAGCAAAATAAATCTTTCCTTCCTTCATTTTGGGCGTCAAGTATTTTGTCCCAGCAACGAGAGAAAAGTAACCAAGACAGGAACCAAACAAGAAAGAAAAAAGGAGGTAAGAGAAAAGAGAATTGTGAGGAGTGAGTTTATAATTTTAAATAGGTACAACCAGGGATGTTGTACCTAATTTTAAATAGGTACAACCAGGGATGTTGTACCAGGTACAACCCTCACTTTGAGGGTACTCTTGACTTTCACCAATAAGAAAGTAAAGCAAATGGCCAGAATTCTAAAAAAGGAACATGCATTCATACAATTAAATAACAAACATCAATATCCTAACAGTAAAACAAGAAGTACTGATTAATAGAGACCTTCAGCTGCTGGAATGTTGAAACTAGCGATTTAATCACTGCATCTTGCCTTAGCTCTTCCAAACCTATCTTTCAACCTCAGTTTTATAAGAATAATTATAGTGCTGCTCTCTAAACTAAATGATCATAAAGCTTTGTTTTCTGAAAATCCCATGGCACTCATCACCTTTCAAGTAACTATTGTGCAGCCAGCACCCAGCAGACACTAACCAAACACTGGCAATTAACTGCCTGCAGTGGGTGAAGAGGGCACGATCTGCTGAACCTAGAAAATGTGGTGAACTTCCCTGATTCTTTCTCCTCCCATCCTTCCAAAGTATAATCCATAGTACTAATACTACCTGCTTCAGTTATCCACTGCTGAGAAGCAAACTACCACACATGTTAAAGGTTTAAAACTTTTATTGACAAATCTTAATACGGGCGGAGCTTAGGTACGTTCCCCTTGATGACACCTGTCACAGCTCAAAGGCCGGGGAGGAAATCATCCAAAGGCTCTTTTACCCACATTTTGCGGTACATGCTGCTGGTTGTGTCTTTGGGTGGGCAGCCCCTCAATGCCTTGGGCCTCCTCCCAACATAGTAGCTTGGCTCTAAGGGTTAGCATCCCAAGACAGAAAATGAAATGGGGGTGCTTATGACCTCCATAACCTAGCGTCAAGTCATGCAGCAGCACCTGTGCACAGGGCTTTGATTAGAAAAGTCACTGAGGCCAGCCCATAGGTAAAGGGAGACAGTTCAATTTTGCCTCTCGATAGCAAGTATCAAAACAATAGTGGGTATGTTTTAACATCCACGATCTACCACATAGCCATGAGCTACTTATATTCATCCTATGTTCAAAATAGGGACATATTCTCTGAAGAAACCCCTCTTCCCAAAAGTTTCATCTGTTCAGAGTATCAAAGATTTTGTCATCTAAATTAGGTCCAAAGGTAGCTGCAGCTCTTGAGGGGAAGGGCCATGTATCTAGTTCTAGTGTGGTTCATCTTGATCTGAAGACCTGTGAACTAAACAGACAAGTTATCTGTCCCCACATTTGGACAACGCAAGAGTAGGTGAAGCACAGGGTAGGCAAGACTGCTCCATAAGGTAGGCAAGAGAGTTCTTTTGAGTCACTGGTTCATAGCGATTCTGAAATCCAACTAAGCCTGTGTTGCCAGTTCCTTCAGTCAGGGTTCAACCCTAGTTCTATAGCCTGAGATGAGCTCATGATTTCCCTCTTTGAGCTCAAGTCCACCCTCTGAATTTCTTTTCAGTCCAATAAAATATAGACCATGTTTGCCAAGGAGTTTTCACAGACTTTCCGTACACAGAAGTTCAAGACTTCAAAAGCTTCTCTTTCTTTTTCTTTCTTTCTTTTTCTTTCTTTCTTTCTTTCTCTTTCTTTCTTTCTTTCTTTTTCTCTTTCTTTCTTTCCTTCTTTCTTCCTTCCTTCCTTCCTTTCTTTCTTTTTCTCTTTCTTTCTTTCTTTCTTTCTTTCTTTCTTTCTTTCTTTCTTTCTTTCTTTCCTGTTATTTATTTTTGGTAACAGCCTGAAATATACTTATTACACCATACAATCACCCATTTAAAATGCACAATTCAATGGTTTTTACCAAATCGTATAACCATCACAAAAACCAATTTGTAAGTGTTTTCATCCCCATGAAAAGAAGGCCAACAGTATTCAGCAATCACTCTCCAGTCCTCTGATTCACCCTGATCCTAACTTGCACTCAAGGCCAACTCCTAAAACTTCTGGTATGCGGCTTAGATATTTTGTCATAGCAGATTCTGTATCGATCAAATTTTGATCAGAAAATAAAATAACTAGGTATTATGTAAATATGGAATTTATTACAGAAATGTGACTTGAGGGAGCCATCTATATATAGTTATTGCTCCTGGACCTACTGCTCTGCCTGCCCCATATCCTGAGAAGCTAAAGATCTGCCAGCAGTGGGAGAAACTGTAGGCTTGGCTGTGAATTCA